ATATAAAAATTGTTATTCTTATTTGAAATCAAAAGACAGAAAATTATACCATAGTTTAAATCAATATATTTCAAATGAACATCAGAATATCATCCTTCTATAATTAAAAAAAATTGATTATTTAAATTTTTTGACAACTGAGGGTGAAAGGGATTAACTAACTCTCACCCTGATGTCTTGAAAATATGAACTACAGAATTTTGTTAATCTTTCAAAACTAACTTGTAGTCAGTGAGTATTTGGTCATTACCTTTCAGAAGGTCAGTAAGTACCTACAACTGTTTGGAAGATGGAAGAATAATACATCTAACTCATATTCTAGAAGTTCCATTTAGTTGAACTTTTACAAAAAGAAAAAGATAAACTATTCAAGCTTAGTCCAGGAATCAGAGCTCAACGTTTAAAGAATATTTGGATTGGAACCAGTAGGTGGCATGGTGGTTAATGGCGCTGGACTCCCACATGGCTGACCATGGTTTGAGTCCCGGACCTGACAGCTTCCTTTCTCACTTTTCTTCTCTCTCTCTCATTCACTCACTTGCTCTGTCCCTCTCTGGTATGTATGTGTATATGTATGTATGCATGAATGAATAAATGAATGAATAAATGCATGAATGAATGAATGAAAGTTAAATAAGGTAATTACAGAAGAAGAATATTGGATTAAGATCAAATGTAGTGTGACAGTGGAGTGCTTGGTTATTTCAGCCTAGGGCTCACATCTCCTGATTTATGGAGAAGAAAGTTAAAAATAAAACCATAAACAGTCTCTCTCTCTTTTTGTTAATATCATAGGTTATGTGTGGAGAGGACAGAGACAGAAAGAGAAATAGAGAGAGGGAAGTGAAGACTCACCCTCCAGGGATAATGGCCACACGGTAATCCCTTCTCTTCCATTTTTCCTTCAGGATTTTGGATATGCATACACAAGTGCCTGGCATGATTTTCAATCCACTGCCTCTGGGACTCAAGCCTCATTTAGCCATGAGGGAATCTAATGTCTGAACCACCACACCACCTGCTGACTCCAGCAATCTCTTTTCTATGGGATAATACAGGAATTCTGTCTGTGCGTTGGCTATATTGCCCAGAGTGGGACAGATTTCAATTACGGAGGTAAGTGTATGAGACCAGGGCCTCATTCTCTAATATTTTGGACATTGAAATTACTTCTCTGAAATTCAAATCTCTAAGGCAATTTAAAAACAAAAAATCTTAATTAGTATGTAAACTATTTTTAACATGTTGACAATTTAAAGTCTCTTAAAAAGTGAAGTCATATTTTGTGAAAATAGATTACTTTCCTTTTGAACCATGAATTAATCTTTTAATACAGACGAAGTTAATTTTGCTATTCTTATTTTTCACCGTATCCACTGAAGGTGTATGACATGGTGTTTTGATAGCATTGCATATTAAGTAAAGAAATTGCTACCGTCAAGCAAATTCACATGCCCATTTGGGGTCAGTATTTTTAAATTCCTCAATCCCGGTTTACCTTAGAGACTAGACTGAAAAAACTGGAGGCACAGAAACAAACCAACAAACCGAAAACTGGAAGAAAGACTGAGAAGAAATTAAGCAGGCAAAAGACAGACTTTGGCAAAATTGTAACTAATCAGAAGGAAATGAGGATGCCGGTGTGGGGGTGGAGTCTGGACAGCAGCCCTAACCTGGCACCTGAATTCTTAAAATCATTTGACTCCAGTTCTGGGACAGAAATGAAGGGGGGGTGGGGCTGAGGCCCCCGCCGCCACTGGAGGATGGTGTTGCTGGGACACTCAGGCTTAGATTTGTCTGACAGAAGGTGGAAATTCTCTCTCTTTACTTGTCTACACAACCCGTGTGCTTCAGACACAGCACTGGGTGCACCGGTGACAATTAGAGGCAGACAGTCCCGCACAGGAGAGCCCTTCCCTGCTCAGCACAATGTGGCACAGGAAGTGCTACAGCCCCTTCCTCCTCCTCCGCCTCCACGCCTACAAGAAACACGCATTCATCGCCTCTCGAATTTTTCAGCACTAAGGGTATAATTTCCTGACACCTGCCGCGGAGCCTCTCAGACCTTGCCAATATAAATTACTTGAAAGAAGGGCTCAGCAGTCTGAGAGAAAAGCAGATTAATGTGAGCCGGGTCAGGGTAACAAAAGGAATATCAATTAAGCACGCATCATATCAGACACTGCTTGGCACGGGCTATGTACCTAGCACACCAGGCAGGATGGAGTACTAGACTGTGAAGAGCACAATTCCGGAGTCGAGCCCCATACACCTATCAGAACGCAGGCCAAGGCGGTTAGAAGTACACTACATGCAACTGTGGGAGCAAGGGCCATACCTCAGGCGTTCCTGCTGTGCAATAAGCCCTCACATGCTCACAGTTCTTCACGCTCTCGGGGCCAGCAGGTGGTGTGGTGGTTAAGGCGCTGGACACCCACATGGGTGACCATGGTTCACTTCTTGGACTTGGAGGCTTGCTTTCTCACTCTCTCTGTCTCCCTGTCTCTCTCTGGTGAGCACACATGTTCTATAGCAAAACTTAAAATAACAATAATAAATAAATGATTAAAAAAGTTCTTCACGTTCTTAACAGATTGTTTTTACAAATCCCTGTTAATTTTTACTCTTACCATTCACTGTAGTAACAGGAATAATTATATTGAACTGTAATAGGAGATTGAAGATTATTCATGTTTACTAAAATGGGATTCTACAGGCAAAGAGGCTTGCTACCTTTTTTCTTTTAATTCTTGCTAAATTCTTCTTACTAAATTAAACAGCTATAAATAAAGTAGTGGCAGAGAACTCATGGATTGTATTACATAGTCTTCAAAGGAACAAAGATGTTGAAAGTATCTTTGAGCATTTTTCAGTTTAGTCCATTTCACAACACAGAAAAAAACTATGCCTTCTATCTGCTCACATTACTTGGATGGCATTCTAATTAGTGTCAGCTCCAGCTCCGGTTATGTAGTAATCATTCAGAGCCTAAAGAGATGTACTCTGAGAACACACCCGCCGTGTCTACAAACACAGAACGAGACTCGGCACTTACAGCACGTAGCCGAAGTCTATATCCTCCTGCTTCTGGAAGCTATTTTAACAATGACGTGGGGTCCCAAACTTTACTGTACTGTGTATTAGTACTGTAGATGCTAGAATTCTATCCCCCCAAATTGCACTAGTAGTACATTTTTAAAGAAATAAGCAAAGGTGTTCATGTATATTAAATACAGTAACAGGGAACAGTCAGATAGGGTAAATAAGAACAAGTGCTACCTATTTGATTATTAGCTATTAATAATTTACCCACAACTGGAAAATAACAGAGGATACATTAGTCATAATGTTAATGCCAATGACATGAAATTCTATCCTTATGAAATGAGTATGAAGTTTATTCTGCAGATGCCATCTCAAGTAGTATCAATTCAGTTCAACACCAATGTGTCCAGTTTCTGAGTCATTCTGGTACTTGCGGTCAGAACACCAAAATTGCTATTTTGATGTAAATGCTTTTCAAATATGGTGTGATTTAAATAGGTGCCACTTATTGCCATAACAGCATGTAATAATTGGGACAGAATATTATGTCTGAAATCACTTCACTGCGAAGCACCTAACAGGCATTCAGAAAATAATTGTCATTTGCTTGATCGTACATCAAACTCAGAAACACATGACTATGTAAGAGATAATGTAGTCCACTTTCGACTGTGTGTCGAAAATCTGATTAATTCCCCTTTTCGGTTTTGCAAAGCTGAGTTGTGCTCTCTCTTATGACTCCAATTTTTAGATGACATGGTTTTCAAATTAATTCAAGGAAAACAAGAAACTTAAGAGTCAGACAAGGGTTCATTTAACATCAGAATTCCCTTGGCAAAAGGAACAAAATATTTGGTACAGATTTAGTTTTAATACTGGTAAACAAATATTTTTAAATTGTTTCAATACATTACCAAGATATTAAAAATATTAAAATACTGACAATCATGATATACCAAAATTTTCTCCGCGAAAACATCCGAGTCACTTGTGTAAAGGTTAGAAGTGATATTGCTAGAGTTAGGATTACTTTTTACCTCTTGTAAACGCATGGAGATACAGAAAACACCAACATATTTGTTCCAACAAACTGTGTGTAGCTCTGAGACATTTCATTTCAATTGACTGTATTTCCTAATGCAATCTGATACTAATTTCTATATAAATAAAAAGCAGTACAATAGTGTGATAAAGACATACCAAATAGATTTCTGTGACTATGGCTTTTCCATCACACCAAATTCAAACAAATATTCTCTCCATTCAAGAAGTAATTCTACCATTTCAACTACTTATATTTTCTGAAAATGCCAGTATTTTCCAACAGTCTGATAAGGAAAAGCCGAAGGACAATGGAAGAATATTAATTGTCAAATTGGTTAAAAACAAAACAAAACAAAACAAAAAAACAAAACAGAAAAAAACAAAAACAAACTTCTGTCTTTGTAATTCAGTTGTTAGGCATAAATAGCAGTTTATGGTACAGTAGGTAGCACAGCGTTTGAGGTGGTGGGCTCCCACATGGCCGACTGCAGTTGGAGTCTCAGACTCAGTGGCTTGAAAATCACACAGTGGGTGGGGATGGGGGTGCGTGTCATGTGTGTGTGCCCAGAGTCCCGGGAAGAATGGCGGAAAAGGGATTGTGGGGTAGCCATCCCCACCATTTCTCAGTTTCTGTCTGTCTCTCTCTCTCTCCTGTGAGCACATACACCTTATGGTAAAAAATGAAACAAAAAAACAACAAAAAAATCCAAAACTAAAAAGTAAATAAATAAATAAAAGCAATTCACGCTGAGACGCATCCCTAATGACGGATGCTGATCAGTGAAAGTTCATCAAAGACCCGACGAAGCGAGACCACGTGCCATTGTGTGTGTATCTGCAGTATAACTATTTTTCCGCAATTTCACCTGGCTCTCCGTGAAATGCGAGGGACTTGGAATCGGCACACCTACCTCACGTGGGTGATGATGAGCGTCGAGGAAGAAGTCGTCGACCCTGTCGAAGTGCCTCCCCACGGGCTGGGTGTGGACGGTGTGGTGCAGCACGCTCCCGCTGGCCAGGGTCACCACCTGAACAGAGCAGACGCGTCACACGCGGCAAGCAGCCCCTCACTAGCTCGAGCACCCCGTTACTCAGCGATGCGGAAACCTGCGAGGTCGCACACACCCTGCTGCGCTACGCGAATTACAGCGATGTAACTGCTCATGTCTTTTTTCTTATTTACACTCTGGAAACCCTTGTTTCTCTAAGGAAATAAAATATACAAAATTTTCTGTCTTGAACAGCTTGGGCTTAAAAATGTTTGTAAAATAAATATACACACAAGATACTTACGTAGTACGAAAGTGTTAAAGCAAACACGGAGGCGTGTAGGTGAGACGCTGGGACGAAATCCCTCCTGTAGAATATAGGTGGGGACCTCTGTCTGAACACTCCGAAATAAATCACACGAAGCATTTTGAAGTTTGATCATTTCTTTCCATGAGGAAGAAGGAGCATGAGAAGGAGAGAGACTCCTGTGGCCGGGCCCTGTCAGGCCACAGTGCCCTCCCGGTCCCAGCCAGCCAGGGTGCAGAGAGCTGTGTGTTTCAGGTCCCCAGGGTCTGAGCCCGGACCGGCCACGTGGCTCCAGCATTGCAGGGTGGCACGCTACTGCTTGGGCCTCTGTGCCTCGTGCTGGGCCATGGGAACAGCACCCCTGAAAATCTCGGAGTGCGTGAAGCCGTATTTAAATATGTTTCCCTCTATGGACTGTAAAGAACTGGTTTGAGTAAGTTTTAATCAGGATGTTTTTTTTTTTCATAATTCACTGGTTTTTAAGCCTTTATAGTTTATTAAATATGATTATATTAAGATGCTATTCCTGGGACCGGCTTTGGCATGGTGGTTAAGATGCTGGACTCCCACATGGTCAACTGTGGTTCAAGTCCTGGACCTGGTGGCTTGCTGTCTCACTTTCTCTTTCTCTCTGTGTCTCTTTAGTCAAATTGTTAACAATAATAATAAATGAAATTAAATAAATAAGAAAAGATGCTTTTTCTCCTACCCCATTACTCAACAAATTCTATCATTTCTTCCTTCAGAGCTCTCAGACCTCCCTGTTCCTTTCTACTGGGCCAGCTGCAAGGCCTTGTTCTGCATTAGCCTTTTAAAGGACTTTCTCTCCTCCCTTCAATTTATCCCCTTTTAAATACTTTCAACATAGGACCAGGTAGTTAGCTTCCTAAATTAATGACAATTTCCAAATGAAATTGAAATAACCGTCAAAGCAAAATTGTTTCCTCTGTGCTCTGTGTGTGTGTGACAGAAATGCATAACCTTTTCACTTCTAATGTGTGTTGGTTGTTTTCTTAAAAGATCATTTTTCTTCATCTAAATGAACACACTTTCATTGTGTTCCAAAGGAACTTCCGTGCTCACTGGAAGTTGGGACAGGTGGTTATGTTACAGCTGAAACACTGAACGAAGTAAACCTGGCAGTCTCCGTGGCTCAGGCATTAAGTGTTTGATTTTGCATGTTGCTGTCTCAGAAGTTTTGTCAGAATACCCACTGAGAACTCCAAATAGGGAACATGGGGGTACAAACAGAGAAAGCAGAAAGTCTGTCTCTCTGTCTCTCTGTCTCTGCAGATGTGCAGCCTGACGACCCGTCTGTTCTCGCAACTAGCAGCAGAGGCCAGTCGGACATCAGCCCCACACTCTACCTCCCAGTCCCTAGATTTGTATGCCAAATAAACCTCTATACTTTATAAAAATCTCCAGGACTCAGGTATCTCTGTAAGCCACACAATAACCAACTCACACAAAGAAGCTGACCCCTGTCTTGAAGGTCCCATTCTCAATACTCCTCATTGTCAGAACTAACCACAAGGCCCTCACCTAACCAAAAGGGGCCCACCCTGCATACGGGGGCAGGGGGGAGCCCAAGTATCTGACTCAAAAAACCTGGAAGACACTGCACCCAGTTTACTAGTAAAGAACACAGTGAGAAAGTCATCACTAGATTTAGCCATTCGTGGTGTCTATAGTAATTTACTGAAGACCAACGAGCATAAGCGGGAGGGAATCCTTCAAATGTTCTTCCCTTGCAAGTGCACAGAAATGCGTAGCTCTCCATGCATTTGTGCGTGTTTGAACATAATAATAAGCCTCCGGTGGCAGGCCCCTGTCAGGCCACAGTGCCCTCCCGGTCCCAGCCAGCCAGGGTGCAGAGAGCTGTGTGTTTCAGGTCCCCAGGGTCTGAGCCCGGACCGGCCACGTGGCTCCAGCATTGCAGGGTGGCACGCTACTGCTTGGGCCTCTGTGCCTCGTGCTGGGCCATGGGAACAGCACCCCTGAAAATCTCGGAGTGCGTGAAGCCGTATTTAAATATGTTTCCCTCTATGGACTGTAAAGAACTGGTTTGAGTAAGTTTTAATCAGGATGTTTTTTTTTTTCATAATTCACTGATTTTTAAGCCTTTATAGTTTATTAAATATGATTATATTAAGATGCTATTCCTGGGACCGGCTTTGGCGTGGTGGTTAAGATGCTGGACTCCCACATGGTCAACTGTGGTTCAAGTCCTGGACCTGGTGGCTTGCTGTCTCACTTTCTCTTTCTCTCTGTGTCTCTTTAGTCAAATTGTTAACAATAATAATAAATGAAATTAAATAAATAAGAAAAGATGCTTTTTCTCCTACCCCATTACTCAACAAATTCTATCATTTCTTCCTTCAGAGCTCTCAGACCTCCCTGTTCCTTTCTACTGGGCCAGCTGCAAGGCCTTGTTCTGCATTAGCCTTTTAAAGGACTTTCTCTCCTCCCTTCAATTTATCCCCTTTTAAATACTTTCAACATAGGACCAGGTAGTTAGCTTCCTAAATTAATGACAATTTCCAAATGAAATTGAAATAACCGTCAAAGCAAAATTGTTTCCTCTGTGCTCTGTGTGTGTGTGACAGAAATGCATAACCTTTTCACTTCTAATGTGTGTTGGTTGTTTTCTTAAAAGATCATTTTTCTTCATCTAAATGAACACACTTTCATTGTGTTCCAAAGGAACTTCCGTGCTCACTGGAAGTTGGGACAGGTGGTTATGTTACAGCTGAAACACTGAACGAAGTAAACCTGGCAGTCTCCGTGGCTCAGGCATTAAGTGTTTGATTTTGCATGTTGCTGTCTCAGAAGTTTTGTCAGAATACCCACTGAGAACTCCAAATAGGGAACATGGGGGTACAAACAGAGAAAGCAGAAAGTCTGTCTCTCTGTCTCTCTGTCTCTGCAGATGTGCAGCCTGACGACCCGTCTGTTCTCGCAACTAGCAGCAGAGGCCAGTCGGACATCAGCCCCACACTCTACCTCCCAGTCCCTAGATTTGTATGCCAAATAAACCTCTATACTTTATAAAAATCTCCAGGACTCAGGTATCTCTGTAAGCCACACAATAACCAACTCACACAAAGAAGCTGACCCCTGTCTTGAAGGTCCCATTCTCAATACTCCTCATTGTCAGAACTAACCACAAGGCCCTCACCTAACCAAAAGGGGCCCACCCTGCATACGGGGGCAGGGGGGAGCCCAAGTATCTGACTCAAAAAACCTGGAAGACACTGCACCCAGTTTACTAGTAAAGAACACAGTGAGAAAGTCATCACTAGATTTAGCCATTCGTGGTGTCTATAGTAATTTACTGAAGACCAACGAGCATAAGCGGGAGGGAATCCTTCAAATGTTCTTCCCTTGCAAGTGCACAGAAATGCGTAGCTCTCCATGCATTTGTGCGTGTTTGAACATAATAATAATAATAATAGCACTCAGAGTAACAGCAGCAATGGCAGCATTTCCTGGGAGCTGGCCACGCGCCATGTGTGTTTTTGGTAGTTCACAGGCATCATGACAGCTGACACACAAACACTGCAACGTGCTATTCCGACCCTGGTCTCACCGACAGGTGCAAGAGCATCGCATCCTGGTCGAGGTCCATTTCCCGAGGATCTCTTTCGTGACTGGCCCAGTTCTAGACGGCAATGATATGGTGCCAGCTCCCCACTTGCCTCAGTCTACACCTGGCTCTCGGATGGCTCCAGGTTCCTCAGGCTGCTGCAGTTGAGCAGGTTGCAGGCTCACGAGGATCAAGGGCACTGAGCGTGCTGCGATGCCCCTTCATTGCTATCCCAATCCTGTATTGGCCCCTGGCTCACTCCTTGTGCCCCCCGCATCTGGGCTGTTCTCGCGATGCCTGCCATGACCCCAGCCATTCTCCCAGGGTCACCGCCCGGCTGGGGCCTGCTTCTTAACCAACAGCAAACTGGAAGGACTTCCTTTCTACTTTTTCTGAGGGATATTTTTGTCTCTAACTGTTGTGCATCTGACAAGAGATTACATGCCAGTTATGAAACTGTGGATTACGGTCTCGTAATTTTTAGACCAGAATTTGTTAAAGTTCCATAAGGGACACTTGACTTTTTAGAAGGAAAAAGTAATGATGATAAATCCTTCAGAAACCTCGTGATGACACTAATTGGAAAATAATTCTTACATATCTAAAATTATGACAGTTTGAGAGTTTTTCATTATAAATATCTCAGAAAACACACTTTGCTTTCACAATGGACAAGAACGATGTCTGATGTCTGATCAAGATAAACACAAGCAGGAAGGGAAGCAGGGCTCTGTAGCCCCCAGAGCGCTTTGACGCAGGAGTCAGTGTAACATTACGTCATAGACCACATTAGAGCAGGAGGACCTTTCCGGTCTTCAGAGCCCAGCACCAGTTCTCTTCCTAGGCTAATCTTTCGACATGATCACTCAGAATAATTACAGCCACAACGAGAGTGTGACCGTATTTCTGGTTCTGTGAGTTCAATTTCTCCAAAGGAATATTTATTTCCCCTTTTAAACATATTTTAAAGCCCTTTCCTTTGCGAACGTTTCCTGATGATCCTGCTGGGAGACGATCATCCAGGCTAGCTGACATTTCTGCGCAGTCAGGTGTCTGAGCAAAGGGCACCGGCAGGCCTGGTTAAAGGTGACGGCTCAGCAGACATACCTGGACGGCTCGGGAGGGGGTGGTGCACTGGTCCTGAGAGATCCAGACAGGAATCTCTTCTGAGACAGGGTTAACGTCCCAGAGCACTGACTACCACCCTCCTCGTGTCTGAGCAAAGGGCACCGGCAGGCCTGGTTAAAGGTGACGGCTCAGCAGACATACCTGGACGGCTCGGGAGGGGGTGGTGCACTGGTCCTGAGAGATCCAGACAGGAATCTCTTCTGAGACAAGGGTGAACGTTCCAGAGCACTGACTACTACCCTCCTCTTCTGTGAGAAGGACTCAGACATTCCAGAGTCAGGGTCATATCTCTCCAGAAAGGATGGGCTGGTCGACCAGCAGCCTGGAAAATCTAAGCGATTCCTAGTTCTCAGGTCCCACGCTTCTGAGCACCTGTGCTCATACACAGGGTAACGTCCATCTCCTTCCCTTGCTCCTTGTTGATCAGAGAGGGGATGAGCATCAACACTCCCCAGGAGTAGAAATGGCCTATGCTCTGACACGTTTCCGAGATGCTGTTTCCTGCCAGCCTGTCTGTGTACCTCTCCATCCTGTCTGTCACCTCATATGTGTGCACGTGTGGGTTTAAACTCTACATAAACAACTCTGCATATGGGCCTACTTCTCAATTGCTACATTCCATTTTCAAGTGTAGTACTTCCCTCTTGATAGCACCAAGATTTTCTGGTGAAGCATTCAAAGAAAATTAAGTACCCATTTTTAGATGGCTGGATAATTCTACTTAACACCTTTACAAAGATTTTTTTCTCTGTGACATCAAAAGAGTTTGTTTAAATTAGGTTGGGGCATTGCACCACTGAGGAAGTTGCTTAAGCTGCAAAGGTCAAACATTAAAACTTCAGGTAATGACAACTGATTAAAAACGAAACTATCATATTCAAGGGGCTGTATGAAAACGGTCAACAAGAGTGGTTCGGGGCTGGGGGTGCTGAAGGCGGCAGGGTAATGACGAGGCTGGAAGAAAGGAGACGCCTTCCCAGGCCAAGCATTCCTTCCCAGCCCTTTCTGTTTCCTCATAAACTTTTAACTCTGAATATCTAAAAACTATGCCAAAGGCTCATGGTCAAAATGCATTTTCCCCCATATCTGTGAAGTTCTCACATAAACAACTTCAAAGAAGCAGCAAATTGCACCAAAATGACACGACAGATTCCCCAATCAGAAATGAGTCTGTGCTCAGAAAAAATACCGTCTGTCTGGACAAAATCGGAGCCCTGCTTTGAAGCATTTGCAGTCTAGCTCCCTTGCTCTCTCCCTCAAATACCCATCAAAGCTGCTGAATGGTAAATGGTATCTGTTTTGATTAATTCTTTAAGCTCTGTCACCATAGGTTATTCTTTTAACATATGAATAAAGCCTTAGTAAATACAAGGAGTCTTCTAAAAGTTCATGAAAAAATGTGTCTTATAAAATACTATTCATGGATTTTAAAGTTTTTTTCCATAAAAATAAAATCATGCTTCACTTAGATTTTTCACAAAATTTTTGAAGACCCCTGTTGTTAAACCAATGATTTTTCCCAATCCTAAAAGGTAATTGAGTATTAATTATTAACTTTTTCCCATTTAAATCTAGTGTGATTAAAGCCACAATCCTCAGGACCAGCAGATGGTGTAATGATTAGGTCACTGGACTCCCACATGGTTGACTACCGTTCGAGTCCTGGACCCGGAGGCTTAGAACACTCTGGCTGCGTGTGTGCACGTGCCCAAGATCCCAAGAGGAGAATGGAGCAGAAGAGATTGTGCTGTGACCGTCCTCTGGGGGCGGGCGCTCCTCGCTTTCTGTCTCTCTGTCTCTCTGTCTCTCTCTGTCTCTCCAGCAAGCACACACACCCTGAAAAGAAGCTGTGGTCCTCGGCTGGAAGGACATCCGAGGAGAAGTCTGTCAGTCTCCAGGCCATTGCTCCCTCCCGTCAGCTGAGGGCCCTTACCTGCAGGGTCGGCGAGGCCTTCTCCATGCTGCCCCAGCTCAGCACCCACACCTGGTCATGCGACTTGTCGTAGTGTAGCTTAACCGGGACAGGGTCTGTGCTCACTGCCTGTAAGGAATAAGGGTTGAGAAAGGCATTTTCAGACTGAAATGTTACTTTAAAACCAGGCGAGGAAATACGATAAATTCCAAAAGTGTCCATGTTAGAGCAAAGCCAGTATCTAATTTTCTAAACACTTACCTGATTAATTGGAAATGTCATACCTTAATATTACACATCTTTATTCATTAGTTGCACCATTTTATATAGTCTTTTTTTAATTGTCAGAGGGTGTGCCCACTTACAGAAAGAAACAGAAAGAGGGAAAATGAGAAAGCCCCCCCACCCCCCGTGGGGCATGGTCATACCTCAATCCCTTCTCCTCACTCAGTCCTTTCAAGATTTTGAGCATGCAGGCACATACACCTGGTGTGTTTTTCAAGTTGTCCGGTGAAGGACGCAAACCTCACCACTGACCATGTGGAATCTAGCTGCCCTAACCACTGGGCCATGGGCTGGCCCTGTATGGTCTTCCATTTATTCATTTCCTATGTGAGTTGTGAGTCAGAGTAGTTACTTAGGAACTCCAGCTAAAACAGATGAACAGGTTCATATTATTCACGTGTTGAATGCAGGCAAGAACTACGCTGATACCACCAGGGCTTGCCCCATCCCAGTGCTGGGCTATGGGATTTGACCATCTATAATGTGGAAATGCCAATAATCTGACACATGATTGTAGCTCTCATAAGTGATTACCTAATTTAGTTTCTTTTTATTTATTTATTTATTTTTTGGAGAGTTTTTTTGCGCTTGCCAGACAGCAGAGAGAGACGGAGAGACAGAAAGCGAGAAATCACCCCCCAGGGGGGATGGCCATGCCGCAATCCCTTCTCCTCCATTCTCCTCTTGGGATCTTGGGCACGCACGCACCCGTGCCCAGCATGAGTTAAAGCCACCGGGTCCGGGACGCGAACCGGGGTCGGCTACATGGGAGTCCAGCAACATAGCCATTACGCTAACTGCTGGTCCCCCTAATTTAGTTTCTTAATGAGAAATCCAAAACCTCAGAAAAGAGGGGCAGCATTTTTTTTTCAATACGTTTGGTATGGTAAATGTGGTTTTCTGCTAATATTTATAATATTTAACATTTACTTAAAACATAACTCTCAGAAAATAAATTGCCAGAAATTTATTTTCACCTTAATTTCAAGCTATTCATATCA